CTTATTGGTTCTGGTAGTGATAGGCAGCACAAACACCAACCTTTCCAGTTTCAAAACCCCACTTTTGCCATTTGTCCCCTGTGTGACCTTGCATGACTATACTTCTCCCTGGTCTCTATTTCTCTCTTCTCCAAAATGACGAGTGGGGTCATTGCGCAAATTCAGTGAGCGCTGAATCTATAGGGCATTTGACAACAGTGGTCATGCAGCACACATGCAATAAAAATAACTACTACACCAAAATGAGATTGAGACCACTGACTTTATTCATCCTTGGGTGTAATCGGTACTAATTGGATTTCTGCTAGCTCCCTGGATGGGGAGGAGAAGTATAAAGCATTTATTTACTCCTAAGTGTGCTTGGTTAGGGAAGATAGGATTTTACCAGTAGATGGCTGTGAACTGCTTCATCATTTAACCCTCTGTCTCAGTTTCTGTATTCTTCTTGTCCTGACTTACTAGCCTGTCTCAGGAATATGGATCTGAAAGGAAAGGATGATTTTGCCCAGCAAAATTTTGCAGACAGCAACCTGGGCTCTGAGAACTAAGGTATTGACCCCCTCATATCTGTCAGTCCATTTAGAGAGGGGTGGGGGCAGGCTTGAGTATATACATATTTCCAGGTGCTTCTAGCACTCCCTGCCCCTGGCAAAGTCTCGGCAGCTGGCAAAAGTGACAGCACACTGGGAGTAAGTAGGCACCCATATCAAATAGTGAGGGGTCAGAGAAGAAATGCGCAGAACTGCCTCTGTCCCTTAAGGCTCGAAGGGGTGGACTACCAGGAAATGAATCACAGTCCCAGACACAGCTGCACCTAGAATGCAGTAGCCAATACAGGAGTGAAGGCCAGCGGGTGCATATTCGTCACTGAAGAGAAATCTGATTGGCAGGTGAGAGGAAGGCCACGCTAGGTAACTGGGAACAGCACATATGAGAGCAGAGCTGGGGACGGCCCACGCACTTGCGCGCGCGCGCGCGCGCACACACACACACACACACACACACACGCGCGCGCGCGTTGTGGTGGGTCAGGAGGGGACTGCCCCCCATCCCCCTCTGCCCCTTCGAGGTAGTCCTGCTGCCTGGCAGCCTGTCCTCCCGCTGCTTCCTCCTCCTGAAAGCCTCCCCAGACTGTTCCAGCTTCCTCCCCTTGACTCTCATCAGAACTCACATGTTGACTGCCAAGACTATCACTTTGGTGTTTCCTCATGTAATTATTTAACTATATACATCCCTACTATGTGTGACATTATTATTTAAATTTGCATGTAAATCCTGTCTAACTCAGTTTAATTTTAAGCTTCCTGAGAGTGAGAAATGTATCATTTTACTCTTTATACTCTCCCGGGGCTCCTGGCATTAATGGACATATTAATGGTATAATATAATAACTGAATTGAATGACGACCCCAGACCACTTCAGGGCCTATTAAATTCTTATGTATTCCAAGATTTTTTCTAAACTCTAAACTTATAGGGTTTCTTTTTCTTTCAAAGTGGTCACTTACAGGTTTTGATGGGAGTTACCATATAAACAAACTGGGTCCTAGGGAATGAATTTTAAGGTCTCAAACCCTCAATTACTTTTTTTAGTATAGAAAAATTGGTTTATTCTTTTTTCTGTATTCATTGCTCCTCAAATTTTGATGAACTACATTTTCTTTTTTAAAAATATATTTTATTAATTATGCTATTACATTTATCCCATTATTTCTCCCCTTTATTCCTTTCTGAACTGTACCCTCCCTCCCACCATCATTCCCTCACCTTAGTTCATGTCCATGGGTCATACATATAAGTTCTTTGGCTTCTCTATTTCCTGTACTATTCTTAACCTCCCTCTGTCTATTTTCTACCTACCATTTATGCTACTTATTCTCTGTACCTTTTCCCCCATCCTCCTCCCAGCCCCTCGCTGCTGATAACTCTCTATGTGATCTCCATTTCTGTGACTCTGTTCCTGTTCTAGGTGTTTGCTTAGTTTCTTTTTTGTTTTTGTTTTTTTTTTTTAGGTTCACTTGTTGATAGTTGTGAGTTTGTTGTCATTTTGCTGTTCATAGTTTTGATATTCTTCTTTTTCTTAGATAAGTCCCTTTAACATCTCATACCAGAGCTTGGTGATGATGAACTCCTTCAACTTCACCTTATCTGGGAAGCACTTTATCTGCCCTTCCATTCTACATGATAGCTTTGCTGGATACAGCAATCTCGGATGTAGGTCCTTGCCTTTCTTGCCACTTTGAATACTTCTTTCCAGCCCCTTCTTGCCTGCAAGATCTTTTGAGAAATCAGCTGACAGTCTTATGGGAACTCCTTTGTGGGTAACTGTCTCCTTTTGTCTGGCTTCTTTTAAGATTCACTCCTTATCTTTAATCTTGGGTAACTTAATAATGATGTGCCTTGGTGTTTGCTTCCTTGGGTCCAACTTCTTTGGGACTCTCTGAGCTTCCTGAAAGTCTATTTCCTTTGCCAGATTAAGGAAGTTTTCCTTCATTATGTTTTCAAAAAAGTTTTCAATTCCTTGCTCTTCCTCTTCTCCTTCTGGCATCCCTATGATTCAGATTTTGGAACATTTAAAGTTGTCCCAGAGGTTCCTAAGCCTCTCTTCATTTTTCTGAATTCTTGTTTTTTCATTCTGTTCTGGTCGAATGTTTCAACTAGAACAGCTTTCTTCCTTCTGCTCTAAACCGTTAATTGAGTCCTGGTTTCCTTCCCTTCACTGTTGCTTCCCAGAACTTTATTTCGCTTTTCACAGCCTTTACTTTTTCCTCTATTTTGTGACCATACTCAACCATTTCTGTGAGCATCCTGATTACCAGTGTTTTAAACTCTGCATCTGACAGGTTGGCTCTCTCTTTATTGCTTAGTTCTATTTCTGGAGCTTTGATCTGTTCTTTCATTTGGGCCATATTTCTTTGTTTTGGCACTCCTGGTATGTAGTAAGGGGCAGAGTCTAAGGTATTCACCGGGGCAGGGCAACCCAGGTAGCCACATTGTGTAGCTGTCTATTGGGGGTGGGGGTGTCCTAAGGGAACAATGCCACTTACTCATCTCTCTGCTGGCTTTCAGTCACTTCCTCCACTACCCACAAGCAAATTGGGCCCTTCTGGTGCTGGTTCCCAGCACCAGACCTTGTGGGTCTCTCCAAGGAACTCTCCTGTGAGTCTGGAGAGTTTCTCCTGCTGCCTCAACCCCGACAGATTTTTTCAGTCAGAGATTTTGAGGCTTTATTTTGCCATGCTGGAACCCTGGGTTGTGCAGTCTGTCTCGCTCCCCAGTTTTAACTCCCAGTTTATCTGCACCCAAATGTGGGACCGCCCACTCCGTCAGCCACCACCTTGCTTGGGAGTCCTCTCTATCCCAGCTGCCCTGCTGGTGTGTGGGCCCCTCCTACCAGCCTGAATGAATGTTTCTTTAACTCCTTGTTTGTCAGACTCCCATACGGTTCAATTTTCTGGCGGTTCTGTTTATCTTTTGTTTTTAAATTCATCATCATCCTTCTTTTGGTGTTCAAGGAGGTAAAGTATATCCACCTATGCCTTTATCTTGGCCAGAAATCAAAACCTCAACTTCTTTTGCCCCTCTTCAATCCTCCACCCTGGCCAGTCACTCGGTTGACAGGCCACTTGGATCTCTGGATTCCTGCCCTTTGAAGTTTTCTACTTAAATACTCCCTTAAAGAATTTCAAAAATCTATATGCCCCTCACATTCTTATGTCAATAGTTAACATTTTTCACCATAAGTTTAAATATTGCAAAGGGTATACCGTACAGAGAGTTATAATTACTTGCATACTAAACACATCATTCTTTTCTTTTCAAGATTTTATTTTTAGACTGAGGGGAAGGGGAGGGAGAAAGACAGGGAGAGAAACAACATCCATTGATTGCAGTTTGCAATTCTTGGGAATCATTTCAAACCTGGGCACCACAGGAATCAAACCAACAAACCAGTGACCTTTCAGTTTATGAGAGGACGCCCAACCCCGAACCATACCAGTCAGGGCAAATACATTGCTCTTCTCGATGTAGCAGATGGAACATAACACCACAGCACTTTTATGTTCTTAACACCCTTTTAACAAATGAACAACCCTTGAACCAGCAAACTTAGCTCATTTGTTTTTCTTCTTCAGTTGTTTTCCATTCCACTTCCCCTAGTTGTATCCTAAGGAAATTACTTCATTGTATCTTCTTTTGTATTTTATTGTATCTTTGGAAAGTCCCTATTATCTCTAATAAGTCCTGTATATCTCTGTAACAAAAAATACGTGTGTAAATTGAAATTCGTTTCCTGTGACTGTAAGATTCTAAGTGTTAAAAACAATTATTCTGCAGCGGATTTATAACTATAATAAGACAATTGACCAGAACTACAAAAATATTGACTGTGGTTAAATAGCACAAACTTTTATTTAAAATACATCTCTCATTGAGTTGGCAAGAGCTGATTTCTATTCCCATCAACTTCAGTTTGGTGGCTCCAGGAAGAGCTCTCTGGTCAGGTTCTGGATGGGTGAGAGAGCTCAGACTTTGTCTTATAGAAGGGTGATTTGTTACTGGAGGTGAGTATGAAGGAGAACCAGTTTTCCAGCAGATTTATTTTAGAAAACAGGAACATATATTTATCCTCTTTAGAAAACTGATCCCCTTAAAACTTGGTCCTGTGCACATGCCCCTGAGAATGTTCCCATGTCTCATCAGGGGTACACAAAAAGGATGAGCTATTGAATAGAGACTTGACTTGACTTCTCATTCTTCAAAATTAGGGTCCAGAAATCTGAAAATGTGGGTCTGAACATCCTTGAAACTCTGACAGTTACATTTCCAACCCCCTGCGACTGAGCTCCACATCCTGATGCTTACTGGTAATTCAGGAACTCAGACTACTTCCACATCTCTGTAAGTGTGTGACTGTGAGGAGGGACCTAATCATTGGCAAGAAGCAGCCTAGAAAATATGTGTGTGTGTGTGGGGGGGGGGGGTTCCTTTCTGTTCCTTTCGTGGAAGCACCATTGTCTCCTGAAGGTTCCCAGCAGTAAGCCACCAGGTGGCAGCAGAGAACACAGAGGGGTGAGTGGGGGGTGGGGGGCAGGTCCCAGGAGCCCCAGGGTGGGGAAGAGGAGGTGGAGATGAGATGACTGGACCAAGGTTAGGGTGTATGTTTGTGCTGTCAGAGAAAAGAACAAAGAAATGTGGGGACCAAGTATGGATCTCAGGAGGGGATAGAAAATATCGAGAGTGCACCTTCGGTGTTCAGAATACAATTGAGGGAATGAAGAACGGGAGAACTCAGGGGAATCAGAGGGTAGAGATGGGCGTGGGTGGCTTCTCCCAGAAGATCTGGTTATCTGTACTCTTCCCGGGGTGGATCAAGGTCTGGCTCCTCCTGAGGCTTATGGTCCACCTCAGGGGCAGGTGGCCAGGGTTTTTCTGGAGGCTGGGTTCCTGCTGGCCAGGGATCATCCGGCAGAGGAGTGTGAGGCGGATCAGTTCTAGGAGGCTCAGGTGGCCAGACTCCAGATTCAGGCGGGTCTCTCCCGGGACGACTGGGGCCTGGAGGTGGAGGGTCCTCAAAGACAGGGGGTGTCCCTGGCCAGGGGTCACCAGGGATCGGGGCACCCTGAGGCAATGTTGGAGAACCCTCCTCCTGTCCAACCTCTGCGGGTGGGGGAGAGAGGCGGTTCCCACTGCCTGAGATGCCTATAGAGGAGGAAGAAGAAAGACAAGAGTAGTGAGGGCCAGATCCAAACCCCAGCCAGCTACAGACTCAGGGGACACAGCCTGTCTGGGATGGACCACAGCCTGAGCTGAGCCCACAAACAGACCACAGGAGTAACTCTCAAGAAACTCTCCACACATTTACTTTTCTTAAAATAACATAAAAACTCTATCCTGAGCCATTAACTTGACCTTTAAACTGGGAGGACTCCCAAATAAGCTCTATCCAACCATGGTTGGGTCATCCCATTGGCACAGCCCCTATGCTGGTCTGCAGTCCCCAGACAGTCTACATCTTGGCCCTATATGGCACCTCATGACCTCCCTCCTACTTCACACAGACTTCAGCTCTACACATCTGAATTCAGACCTAAATGGCCACATGGAGCTACCTCCCATCCAGTAAGACATGTACTCCGAGCTACATGCACTTCCCACATCCCTTTAGCTCTTCCCCTCGTGAGAATTTCCAGAGTCTTCTCCATCTCTATGCATACAATTCACCCCCCTCCTTAGTGGTCACTAACCCTCTTCTCACCTTGACCACCCCTATCACCTTAAATTACATCCTGGCCTCAATTCCCAACTCACCTTCAGTGTACAGGCAAAGGATCAGGATCCCCAGTAGTTTCCAGTTGAGCATCTTGGCCGTCTCCTGGCCCCCAAAGTCAGGGGTGGGTTGATCCTGGGTGCCTGGGAATCCCAACAGGCTTTATAAGGGGAGGCAGCAGGGGAGGAAGCCAATTTCTAGGGAGGGACCAGCCCAGTGACACAAAGAATCCCATCAGAACCTAACTGGTCAAACACGTTTGGAAGGCCATAGCTGATGCACAACCTCTGAGGGTTGGCGTCCTCTGAGGTTGGAGTCCCCAGCTCAGGGCCCAGCCAACCCAGCTCTGTGGATGACCTAGACCTTGGTTGCCCCACCTGTTTTCATATCCTGCTCATACACGCCCTGCAGCAATCAGTGCCTGCCTGTCATCTCCATAATCACAGGGACTTCCACCTTTCATTCCTTGAAGCCAGTGGAAGCCAAGGAATGTGAGCAACCAGGAATGGGGAAGCACTGTAATTACAGGGCTGGGGCAGGACCCCTGAGAGTGGGGTAGGCCCCTTTCCACACCTGGGATGAAACCAAGAGAGTCTCAGTTAGCAGAGCCTCCCTGACCCCTACACCCACTTTGTGCCCTCCCCCTGGAGATAGTTCTTTCCTAGAAATTCTACCCTCCCCTGACCCAGGACCCACTCCTGCCTCTCCAGTGGGGGACCTCCGAAGAAATTCACCCAGGAACCACCTGGGCTTGCTGCAGGTGAGGAAAGAAACATGTGGACATCCTCATTCCTCCTCCCCACCTCAGAGCTGTTCCATCAGTCATGGGCCCAGAGCCTCAGGAAAAGGCTGCTTCCGCTGCCGTCACCCCGGCATCTTCCTCCTCCCTCTGAACCCCTCTAGCTTGCTTCTGCTTCTCCAGGCCCCTCGCCCATCCTCGGCTCCAACTCGGCCCATCTTCTCCTGGCCTTCATCCTTTCGGTCTCAGTTGAGGTATCTAAGTCTCTCAGAAATCCTGCTAGAATTTTCTCAGGAAGGACTCCTCTGCCTTCAGGTCTGATGAGCCTCTCAGAAGTAATGTGTCCAAAATAGAACTCACTTCCTCCCCCAGGTCATTCCCCATCTCGTCTCTCTGCAGCAGTAAGTGACACCACAGTCCCTCTGTGGCTCATGTCACCCACACCCACAATGTCCCCCCACAGCCAGCCAATAGGGCTCTTAAAAAGATAAACCGAACTGAGGCTGCTTCCCTGTTTAAAAAGTCCTGAGGGCCCTAGCCCGGTAGCTCAGGTGGTCAGAGTATCACCCCAATAGACTAAGATTGTGGGTTTGATCCTCGGTTAGGGCACAAACCAATGAGTGTGTAAACAGGAACAAGAAGTACCATTCTTCTCTCTCCAAAATCAGTAATAAAATTAAAAAAAAACAAAAAACAAAAAACCTACTGAGGGCTTTCTCTTGACTCAAGCTAAGTGCTCCTGGCCTGCCTTGCAGTGCCCTCCTCTCTTGTGGCCCTGCCCACCCCCTGCAAGAACTCCTCCCAGGGGCAGCAGAACCTGCTGATCCTCTCCACTCAGGTCTCAACACAATGTCCCCTCCTCAGAGGCCCTTCCTGTCCCCTCACCTAATGCCACCCCGGCCCACAGCCAGCTTGTCACATCACTGTTATTTTCTCCTCGTAGCACTTGTGTGAAATGCTCCACTGTTCCTTTAGGCACTTGTCCATCAACTGCCTCAGCACCTGGAGCAGTGAGCTGCCTGTCAAGACCCCACTGGGGACCTTGAGCTAGGACACTGCCTGGCTCAAGATTGCTATTGGATATTTAATCTTCCTCATTCTAGCACTGATATCTTTCAGAGGTAAGGAGTTTTAAAACTAGAAATTAAAGAAAACCTGGAGCTTCTCAGAAAACTTCCCAAGCAACCTAGGAGAGGGGTTTTGAAAAAGGTACCACCTAGAGAAGGAGCTGTGTATGGGAGCACCGCTCACATTTCCCAGAGACAGCTGCTCGGAGAAGTCCTTTATGTTCCCAGAGACAACATGGCCAGGCAATGCTGTGGTCATCTTTATTGAGGCACAGACTTCACAGACACCTTGGTGGCTAGTGTCCCCAAGGGTAGGCCCCACAAACCTCACCCCACTTCTCCATGATCCTACTGGTCCCCCAGGCTCCCCTGAGCTCCCGGGTGTCCCAGCGCCCAACTGGTCAGTGGTGGATGGAAGCAGAAGAGTTTTGGTTGTCTCCTTGAGAAAGAGCCTCCTCTTTGGAAATGGCCTCACTCAGGCCCTGCAGGTCATCGAGCAGGACACAGAGGGATCCTGAGAAAGAAGACCCCAAGGGATAGGAGCTGGACAAGAGAAGGCCATCAAGGTTACGTGCAGAACAAGGCTGCCACAGGGTGGGAGGGTTATGAAGGAGGAGGTTCTCTGGTTCAAGGCGGGCATGGATAGAGGAGGCTGAGGTCCTCCGAGGGTCACAGAGAACAAGGTTCATGCACTCATGTCTGGGGCAGAGGTTCCCGAAGTGCCCCCCATCTCTCCCTTCCTACTTAGACGATTACCCTTTATGGTCTTCCCGGGAGACAGCGCAGCTGCTGAAGATCCAGGTACTGAAGACACTGCCAGCCTCGGGCTGGACTGCACAGACTTCCCCTTATCCAGGGAAGGATGAGCTGCCAACAGCCGCTGCTGCTTGGAACAGGAGAGGAGACCCTCCTGCTGCAAGGTGGCCTGGGAAGGAGAGGGTTAAATGCCACCTAGCAAGGGAAGAACCTCCCCACACTCTCTTCACACCTCTACTCCCCAACCAGCCCCAGGCCTCCACTTCCCCTACCAGCAGGAGGTTCTTGTCCCTCTCCAGCTCTTGCAGGCGCTGGGTCAGCCGAAGTCCCTCCTCCTTCCGGGCCTCTTCCTGCAGGCGCCTAAGCTCCTGGTCCCGCTCCTTTTCCCTGGTGGCTCTGCGCTGGATTTGACGCAGGGAAACCACTATGGGGAACCAGGTCACAGAGGGGACAGGTGTGGGGCAGCCCAGAGGCAGAAAGGCACCAGGAAAACAAGACTTGAGTGATGGGCAGGACCACTGGGTCCCAGCTCTGTGACTCAGTCTCTTTTGCACAGTGGGAGAGGCAGCTGCCGCTCTAAGACCCTATGAGTCTGAACCCACAGCTCCTTCCCACCCCAACCTTCCCAGAGTCCCGTAGGGGAAATCTGGATAGGGACTGGATATTAGATCTTGTGTGATTCACGTTCATTTTCTTAAAGGGTGACAATGGTACTGAGGTTATATAGGAAACTTTCCTCTTTGCATGGAGGTCAACAGTCATGATGTTTGTGATTTAAGTAATTCCCTGGAAATGTATACATCAATATGTGTGTACAGAGAAAGAGCAAGTGTGACAAAAGGCAAATAACCAGCATGGGTGTTCATCACACAATTCTTTTCATTTGCTATGTGTTGGAAATCTTTCCTAATAAAGAGTTGGGAGGTGCCCTGGCTGGTGCAGTTCAGTGGACTGAGCACTGGCCTGTTGCTGGTTCAATTCCCTGTCAGGGCACATGCCTGGGGTCCCTGAATGGGAGTGGTTGCAAGGCAACCAGTGTGTCTCTCCCTCTCTTTCTCCCTTTTTCCCTCTCTTTCTCCCTCCCTCCCTTATTTTTCTCTCGAAAAATAAATAAAATCCTTTAAACACGGGAGAAGAGAGAAACAGTTTGAGGTAACCAATGGTGGGAGATGTCAGATGGCAGTGCCTTTGTTGGGGGGGCGTTACCAGCAGGTGCTCCAGGACAGTCACACACCTGGGTGTTCGCCAGCTAAGAATCCAGCTGTGCCATTCCCTGATAACTTCATCACCTGCATGCTTCCCAGAAAGCTTTACAGGACGTTTCTAAAATAACCTATGTCTCCCCAGGCCCCGGTCCACCCGGTCAAACCTCACCGGCCTTGGCACGCTCCCTCCGAGCGTCGTTCAGCCTCCTTTCTGTTTCTGCGAGCTGTTCCCGCAGCCGGGATTCCACTTCGGCCACCTTCTCTTGCAGAGCTGGAGTGAGAGTACATGTGGGGTATGTCGGGGAGCCGTGGCTCATGGTCCCCCCACACAAAGACCATCTCCTCCCCCGGCACACCTTGCCCATAGATTTCCTGCTGCTGGGTCAGCTCCTGCCGCAGACTGGCAGCCTCCTCCATGCTCTCCTGCTGGCCCTGGCGAGCTGCTTCCAGCTGCAGCCCCACACTGGCCAAGGACTCCTGGGTCTGCCGAAGCTCCTGCTCCAGCTGCTGGGCCACCGAACTCAGTTGCTGCCGCTCCGCCTCCCCTGGAAAGAGGTGGGCTTACTCAGGCCTCTTCATGCCCTAGACCCCAGCTCTTCCCTCCTCCTCTCCACCCCCCAGTGCACCTGACTCAGGCCCATTGTGAAGCTCAGGGACCCCTGGACCAGGTGTACCTTGCTCCCGGGCTCGGCCCACCTCCTGCTGGATGATGTGGGCACTCAGCTGCAGTTCTGCATCCAGGCGATCCCGTTCTTCCCGCAGCTGCTCCAACTCAAGGCTCACATCCTCGGTTGGTGGGGGTGGCAAACAGCTGAGACAGAATGAGGGAAATCACCCACTTGCTTGACCCTTACACCCCCATCCCTCCTCAGTCCTATTGTTTTGGGTCCCGGCAACCAACCATCCTGAAAGCCCCACCACCGTCCTCCAATCCACCTCAAGTGACCCAAACTTCACCTCTCCTGGCGCAGATGAGCAAGGGCCAGTTTTCGAGCCATCAGGCCTGGGGGTGAAAAGGCAGACAGCATCAGAGATGAGTGTGTGGAGGAAAGGGGAGACGAGGAGTAAAGGAAAAAGAGAGGTGCAGACTGATGAGAAGGCAGGAGGAAGGATATGGGCAACAGAGGGCTGGTGGGGCAGGGCCTGGCTGGTCTGGCAGTTGCATACTCACCCCGAATGGTGTGGACCTTGCGGGCAGCATAGCTGACTCGGCTGCTGAGGCTGGGCAGCCGGGCTGCGGCCCGCTCCACCTTGGCCACGGTGTTCTGAAGCCAGGTCTGAAAGCTGGACAAGATACAAGGCCACTGACCCTTCAACCCCACATCATTCACCAAAGAACTTGATCTGCCTCTATCCTGTCCTGCGATGACGGTGGGGGAGTCAGAAAAAAAAAAGCTGCAGCCAAGTTGCATCTGGCTCCTCAGCCAGTAAACAGAACCTGAGAGTTAAGCCCTTTAGTGCTTGCCAGATAAAAATGATGCAGTTGTACCCTGACTGGTTTAGCTCAGTGGATACAATGCAGGCTGCAAACCAAAGGACTGCTGGTTCGACTCCCCGTCAGGGCACATGCCTGGGTTGTGAGCCAGGTCCCCAGTAGGGGATGTGCAAGAGGCAACCACACATTGGTATTTCTCTCTCCTTCCCTCCCCCTGTCTCTAAAAATACAAATAAAACCTTTAAAACAATTATCCAGTTGCTCATACGAAAGCACAGGTATTATTGGTCCCCAAGTCTACAGTAAGCTTTTTCTCTGGGTCCCAGCAATAAAAACAGCCATGAGGTTCACAGGGCACACCTCATCCGGGCCCGGCGGCCACCACACAGTCAAGGTGAAATAAACTCGGTCCCTGTGGAGCTAAGATGAGTGCCCATAGGCTGGCTAATCTCTGGCTGATTTAGACTTTTCCACCTACAGGCTCCTGGGTGCCTCTCCAGTCTGGGGATACTCCTGGTAAATGTCCTGAATAGCCACACTTGGGTGTGTGAACTTATGTGCATTTTTCTAAGGAAAAAAGTCCATGGCTTGCATCAGTTTTCTAAGGGATCCCCTGGCCAAAGACAGCAAACATTAAGTGACTGCGTGTCTACGCATAAGAGATCAGTGAAGGCCGGGTGCATCGCTCCTCCAGCTGGCTGTGCCCCAGGTGAGACCAACACAACCCCCTGGGGCGGGAGGCACAGCACCCAGGCACAGGACTGGAACTTCCCCGGGGAGCCAAGCCTTTACCAACAGAAAAATGAGCAGAAAACAAAGGCTGAAGATCGTATCCCAACAGCAGAGCAGACTTCTTTTACCTGAAAATTCGATCATTCCAACACCTTCTGTAGCTCTCACTAAAGCCATTTTCTGATAATGTCTCCAAGCCATCTAAAGACTATCAAACCTGGCAACAGGCCAAGCTTGGGGTGTTTTATGCCTCGTGGACTTGTTGGCAATTAGTTATTAGCAAGAAGATCCTTTTCAGCAGCGTCCTGGTTCCAAAACAAAACCCTGTCCACACGTCTTTCTGTTCTCCCACAGGTGGCAGCACATGTGATGGACTGAACCCAGGTGGTGCTTCCTTGTAACTAGCCTCTCTAATTCCATGCGTGTTTGAAAACTTTTCTCATTTTTTAAAGTTCAAGTAGTC